CGCTAAATAACAAATTAATCGATGTTTAGCGTTTAAATTTAATCGATATAAAACGATTAAGCGTTATATATCGTTATGAATCTACTTGAAAAAATTCGTGATGACAACCCTAATAAAACTTTCTATATCCTTCTTTTTTGTTTATTCTTTGTAGCTTTCCTTTTTTTAAAAAGTACTTTAAACTGTATAAATAATGTAAAATTAATTTGATTTAAACAGCCAATCATATGAATATCTGCCTATAATACAGAGACACAGAAAAACTACATAAATTTAGATATAAATTACTGTATACATAGGTGAGCAGATCAGTATAGTAAGGCCAATTTTTTTAAAAATCGGGCTGTACTATACTGATCTGCTTATCTATATAATACTTAAAAAATTTAGATTTTATCTAGCACTAGAAATTACAGAATTAATCTATAACTAATTGTATCATTAGTTACAACTTTAAATTATTGCAGTTTGTGAAATTTTGACTACTGTATACAGTACTTAGGGTCTTATTTAAGAATTTCATTTTAAAAATTGAATAGTACCTGTGAATGCTGTGTGAAGAACTGGGTAATATATTTGAGGAATATTATATTTAAGGTAGTAAATCAACATAGTTATACCCTGGGTCTTATTTAAGAAACAGAACATGAATAATACCCGATCTCAATCATGGAGGTATTATTTTGGGGGATACTGTGTACAGTAGTCAACGGTATTATGGACTTCTAGCTATAGATCGAAGGACAGGATTTTTTCTTGGCTAGGGGCCTGATATTCTGTATTCTAATACGTCATTGCTTTTAGATATTCCTGGAATCTTTTTTCCATCTTCCAAATCTTCATACCAATATGCATCTAATTGCGAATGCCAAGAATTATGGAACTTTAGTTAATACTGTCTGTGGTGTCAAAGAAGCTATGCATAGTTTATTCAAAAATTTTGTTCCACATACAAACAAAAAAAATATTGATCTTGACCTTTTAAGACATTATAACATGCTCCAGACATTATGTTTTTGGCTTGATCGTGGGCAAGATAAACCCAAGTTATTATACAAATTGCTCTCTATTAAAACAATTGCTCTCTGGATGGTATGTTACAAAATCACCTGATCAAATTATCAATTTGGAAGATGAAGATGTCGAAGTAAATGGTAATTTCGATCAGCCTAAAGCCTCTTATTTGTTTTGTCTAAATAAGTAGGTGGCTCTTAATATAGTAAAAGCATCTTGACTTTTATTAAAAATTTACTATATATAGACTAGTCACTATATCGTGATAATTTTTATTTTGCATTAAGGTGAGATTTATTGCAATGATTACCATTTTATAAAAATTCGTACTCAGAAACCTTGGAAAAATGTGAAGATTTGAGAAAAAATAACCTTGACTTAGATCTATATCAGGCTTATTGTGAAGAATTTAAAATGTTTGCTACACTAAATACGTACAAAGTTTCGTTTTTTGACTATATCAGTTATGTTGTAGTGGAAGACAATGATAATTCTTCAGCAGAATGCAATACCACCAGTTGTCATGTTAAAGTTCAAGTTGGGGATATAGTAGAGTTAAGAGAGATTAGTGATACTGACGATAACTCATTTATTTTATTTGCATTGGTCAAAGTGATTATTACACATCAAGCTAATAATGGCAAGGTCTATGCATTTTTTATTCTTGATTGGTTTGAGGATTTGAAAAGAACTCATCCAATACTGGAATACACACAATTTCAACTTCAGCATAAAAATAATATTCAATGGTGGCGCATTTTTACTATTTTGATGATCGACCAACAGTAACAATGTCATTTTTTGCATAACTGCAAGCAGACTTGTGGTGGTATTTATCATAATCCAAATAATCGAAATTATTTGTGTAATGATTTTTTATTTTAAGACAATTTAATTAATCAAAAAACAAAGTGAGCATTGAGCGACTTTAGTTGCATTATTCATCCAAATTACAAACATAGTGCAAGAGAATAATTTTATTTTACCTATCTAAGAGTTGTTAAGGTTTATAAAAAAAACAGGACAACGATTTATTATGTGCCCTGAGCATTGAGTAACTTTAGTTGCATTATTCATCCAAATTACAAACATAGTGCAAGAGAATAATTTTATTTTATCTATCTAAGAGTTGTTAAGGTTTATAAAAAAAACAGGACAACGATTTATTATGTGCCCTGAGCATTGAGTAACTTTAGTTGCATTATTCATCCAAATTACAAACATAGTGCAAGAGAATAATTTTATTTTACCCATCCAAGAGTTGTTAAGGTTTATAAAAAAAACAGGACAATGATTTATTATGTGCCCTGAATTATATTTAAATCGTCTAAGTTATTATGATATAGATACTTTTTGTTAAATATCTTGCCTTTATAGAATTAATAAATGTTAAGGAGGAATTAAAGGAGATAATTTTAAATTTTTAGTGATCATTATCCTAATAATTTATACCATTTTAGATCTTACTACCGCTACAGTATCATTATTTGATTATAGGCACAGTAGTTCAGGTGAACTCAGCTTATATCAAGTTAAACGTGGCCTTACTAGTATGCTTCATTTTTCAATATTAAAACTGAATCTTGAAAATGGACTGAACACTATTTTTAGTTTGAATTAGCTAGACTGGTCAGAAGAGTAATAGTATCATTTTGTGTAAGAATATTTACACCTTTATTGTATCAAAATTCAAGATCAAATACCTTCTAGCAGTTTATATGTAAATAAATTTTAGAATTGTAAACTGCTTGTATACTACTCTATTAGTTGTATCCAAGGTATTTTGCAGATAAAAATTTGATTTATATCCAGTTACTCATCATATTATATCTTGAAGAATACAGTAGTATCTTATATCTAACTGGTATAAGACATTGAAGACTAGCAAAGTTGAATGAGAAACGTATAGCGGGCATGTCTCTAGTCTTTGTAAATATCTATTAGCAATATTTTATATAAGACAAAACTCTAAAATACTAATCTGTAAAGCTTTAAAAGATTGTATTGGAATTTGATTGATCATATTTAGGCAATATAATCGACCAATCACATTCAAGATTAATGATCATTTAAAAATGTGGTTGCTTAGCTTTTTTACTTCTTATCTCTTATTATTTTCATATTTGTTAGTGGTGCGATTTTATCATTGCTATCCTTTTTTTTTTGCAAGTTTTTGGCTAACTCTTTTTTATTATCTTTTCAGGTAGATCTTCGATATTATCATCATGGCAACTTTTCTCATAAATTTGGCCAACATTTTATCTTTCTAAGTAGAGTAGGTCTTCGATCATTGTTGTTCCATATGCTGTATCGATTTTAGCACATTGTGGCTTTTGGGGATTTATTCACCTAGACTAGCTAGACTTTAAGACTTCGTGATAAGCTTTTTGCTTCCCATTAGGGTTCCAAACTTTTTGACTCATTTTTTTTTGCTATATTTAATTAATAATTTTAGAATACTAGCCTTTTTAAGCTGCTTTTAATTGTTTGTGGAATTGTAGAAGAGTAACTTTTCTATAAATTTCTAGATATTGTTTTGTGATCTTTGTATTAGTTTTTAAGCTATTTGAATTCTAAAATTGACCAAAACAGGTCAACTAGGTAACTGTAACCTGTTTTTTCCCATTTTTATAGTTTAAATAACCTGAAAATAATAGAAAAATCCATGGCTATTTGTAAAAATCTACATAGAATTATTATTTGACTATAAATTTTATTATTGACAAAAGAATAGTTTAATTGATGATCCGCCAGTTAATCAGAGAATTTCTATATTAAAATGTGACGCAGATCACATATAAGCAAGACCCAAATTGAAATTTTCGGGTTATAAGTGAAGTTGCAAAATTTTTAGACAAATATAGTATTAAAGTAGTACAAACGATAAAGCGAAACCTCAAGGTTCTAATTATAAAATTATTAAATATTAATTTTTTTTTAAAAAAAAGTTTACTCTATAAGCATACAGCATTTACTATGATAAACTTAATATTAATTAGAATACTAGGTAATTAATAATACATTGTTCTTAGCTTATTTTCTAATAAAAATTTATAAGTTTTTTTATTTTTAGACTTTTGAAACTATGCTATGCTTCAAGAGCAGGATCCGTAAATCATTACTACCAATGTTGCACTATACAAGTATGAGATTATAATATATTTAAATTACTTATATACCAGGTACTTGTCATATTATCTAAGCTTCATTTTATAGTCATCGTTCTGGAACTGTTTAGACATGCTTAGACTTTTAAAAGAATTAAAAGGTATGCTAACTTAAAAAAGACAATTAGCAAATGCAAATCAATATGCTAACTTCTTTGTTAGCAACAATAATAGATTAGAAGGCGAAAAGACACTAACAAATGTGCAATACTCTAGATTTGAAAGTGAGTTGATGTTCTTTTCATATGCACTTTTAAGAATAATATGCTAATTTTTTTTTTAGATTCGAATTGTATGTAGTAAAGCTTTGGTCAGAGTAAAAATACATTTTATCCTAGCTTGGATTTTGGTGAGTTAATATATTTGATAGTTAATATATTTGATAGTTATCAAGAAATTTGTGATTAATTAAAGTTACTTTATAACAGATGATAAAAGAATTAAATTATCTTGGATTGAATATAATGAGTTCAGAGATATCGAGGAATGGGGATCGCAACTGTATATGGGCAACATGGCTCGATAGATTAATTAAAACGATGGCGAATATATTATTGCTATGCAGATTCATAGAGATTTACATAATGAAAATATTTTGCAAACTCGTTCGCATAGCATATATATTACTGATTTTGGACTTTCTAAAAAAAAAATTTTTGGAATTCTATATATATAGCACCTGAGATTTTGGTGGGTGAACTATATAATCAAGCATCAGATATTTAAAGTCTCGAAGTTATTGTGACTAAGATTTCAAGAACATTTGATGGAATTCTGTTTAATAGTGTATCAAGAATTATCAGTGGATCAAGACCTAAATGTTTAGGACCCGATTGCTATATTGAATTAGCTATGAATTGTATAGATAAAGATTTTGATAAATGATCTACTGCAACTGAAATTATTGATAATCATTCGTTTGTTTGATAAATGGATCGGAAAGATGATAATGAAATCAACCCAATTTTTGGAAGCTAATAAAATTAAACCAGAACAGATTAAACAATAATTCACAAGACACATGTATTGGTAAGCTATATGAAACGAAATATTAGTACTGTAGAGATCTTCAAATTAAACTAATTTGTGGAATTCTATTGCATACAGCACCTGAGATTTTGGTGGGTGAACCATACACTCAAGTATCAGATATTTACAGTCTTGGAGTTATTGTGACTAAGATTTTGACCAGACAAAGAGCATTTGATGGAATTCCGTTTAATGGTAATCTTGTGTCAAGAATTGTTGGTGGATCAAGACCTAAATTTTTTAGGGCCCGATTGTTAGTTATGAAATATATGGGTAGAGATTTTGATAAACAACCTACTGCAACTGAAATTATTGATAATCAATTGTTAGTTACATTAAATAGATCTGGAAGATGATAATGAATCAAAAACAATTTTTGGAAGCTAATAAGTTTAAGCGTATACTGGTAAGCTATATGGAAGAAAAAAATTTCCAAATATATTAGTACTCCAAATTAAACTAATTTGTGGAATTCTACCGTATATAGCATCTGAGATTTGGTGATGAACTATATACCCAAGCATCAAGTATTTATGGTCTCAGAGTTATTGCGACTAAAGTTTCAACTAGACGAAGAATGATGAAATTCCGTTTAATGGTGATCTTGTATCAAAGAATTGTCAGTGTCGGGATTAGGACCTAAATTTTTAGGGCCCGATTGTTAGTTATGAAATATATGAATAGAGAGTTTGATAAATAACCTATGCAACTGAAATTATTGATAATCAATCGTTGGTTGCATGAAATAGATCTGGAAGATGATAATGAATCAAAAAACAATTTTTGGAAGCTAATAAGTTTAAACCAGAAAATATTACACAAGACACATATACTAGTAAGCTATATGGAATTAAAAAAATTTCCAAATATATTAGTACTTCAAATTAAACTAATTTGTGGAATTCTACTGTATATAGCACCTGAGATTTGGTGGGTGAACCATATACCCAAGAATTAAGTATTTATGGTCTCGGAGTCCAGACAAAGAACATACATTTGATGGAATTCCGTTTAATAGTGATCTTGTATCAAGAAGGACCTGATTGTTATACACTAGTCCAAATCAAAAAATCGTCGGACTAGTTGAAACTATATTAATAGGCTGCTAAATGTGCTAAATGTATACTGGCATTCTGCAAGTCAGAATGCTAACAAAAACCAGCATACATTCAGCATATTCGGCAGCCTATTAATATAGTTTCAACTCGTGCATAATTTTTTCATTTGGACTAGTGTATATTGAATTAGTTATGAAATATATGGATAGAGATTTTGATAAACGACCTATTGCAACTAAAATTTATGTAGTATGTGCTTAGGAAGGTAATTTTTCTAAATCTTTAAAATTAATTTTATTTTATTTTTTGAATATCTTTCTCAAACATCTTTTATTTAACTTCTATAAAAATATAAATTTTAATTGAGAATTACAACTTAATAAAGCAAATTTTCATGTTTTGACTTTGTTTCTAATATTGAAAAGTACCCAAGTCAAAATCCTGGTTTTTTTTTATTTTTTTAAAAAAAAAGAAGGTACCTGAATATTACCCTTAACAACCAATTATACAACCCAATTTTAAAACCATAAAGAATTCAGAATAGATTTATTCTAATTTCCACTTTTAGTATAACCGCCACGTATCTTATATATAATAATGTTTTTTGCAACAATTACAGTACTGGAAATATTATCACACAGCTTATGAAATTTTTGGCCTGAAAACCCGTCTCTACTGCCTCTAAGTACTTCTGTTAATCCATGACAATATTTTAGCAGCATGCTGTAAAGTAATTATTGAGATTCTTTAAGAAATATACCAGGTTGGTGAAAAGTAACTAAACAGTGGCCTTTTTTTAATTACTATGATTATCCTAAACAGTGGCCTTTTTTTAATCACCATGATTATCATAAAATGATAGTGATTATAAAAAGACCACTGTTTAGCTACTTTTCACCAACCCGGTAGATTCTTTGAAGAATAATTTCCTATAATGAGGCAAAAGTTGAGAAGTAATAGGCATATTCGGAGCTACAAAAAAGAGTAAAGGTATTCTTTGGGCAATTAGTGGGTGGGTGTTTAATTAGTGGAGTGGGTTTGGTCTTTTGTGTTAGGTAATTAGTAGGT